CCGAAGATGCGGCCATGAAAAGGAGGATATCAAACATATGTTTGAATGTCCAGGAACAATGGCAATTCGGATGGAGTTATTCGGACGAGTGGAGGTGCCGCTAAGCATATTGACAATGGAGCCGAAAAAGAGCCTTGCTCCCGCTCGAAGATTTCTTCGTGAAGTCCGTCAGGCCCTTTAAGGAAACAAAAAAAAATCATCATTCCTCATGCTGGAGTATAGGCCACCATCAAGAGCTCTCCGTGTACTTCTGCTCTGGGCTGTAGTCTCTATCTCTGTCCAGCTCTGTCCCTTCTCCTTTAGGTCAGAATCTTCTAAGTCCCTTCTACAAGTACTATTATTAAGCCTTCTTTTCTGTCTCTTTCCTTATATGGATTCCATCTTAAGGCTTGGTGGATAGTTTGTTTTCAGTTTTCTCTAGGTGTGTCCAATCCACTTCCATTTTCTTTTTCTGATTTCTATATCTATTTTTTGTTGATTTGTTTTCTACACTTGTTGTTTATTTCTTATGATGTCAGGCCATTTCATTTTTAGGGTTTCTCCTGAGTAACTATGAGTTTGTGATGTCAGCCTCTTCAAGTTTGCCGTCTTCACCCTAGTTTTCTTTTTCTCAAGTAAAGTAATATTTTGCCATCATCTCAACTTGTCAAATCTTCAGTTTCAACTCTCGTCTGATGAGGTTGAATTGTTGTCTGGTTGAAAAATTCCTGTAAATGCCAAACTGCAAAATGGTTTTTGTCTGAGTTTTGCATACTGACATTGATATTATGTTTTCGCTTTTGATGTCTCAATGTGAGTTAGTAGATGGCTCTTGATCTCTAAGCTCTCACTACAGGCTTAAAGACCAAGACACCAATGCACAGATGCTTAAATGAGCTTTTGTTTCTGTTCTAAAAATCTTTTCAGAGTAGGCCATATCAGTTTGGTAAAATCATGTGATGTAATCTTTTCCGAGCATGCTAAGTATAGTATATTTACTTTATGTTGTATAATCTTTCCTGAGCATACTATGTATGTATAGTATATAATCATTATAATCTTTCTAAAAACACTTAGTCAAATACAATTGTACAATGTAATCTTTTCTGAGCATACTTAATTTACAGTATAGTCAAGGATCTATATATAATTTAATCATTTCTGAGCATACTTGGTGTAATATATAATCTTATAATCACAATCAATGTTGTGAGTTTCAAGTAAAATATAGCACTTTTCCTATGACAGGTGGCATCAGTAGCCTAGTGGTTAAGCTACTGGACTCATAATCACAAGATTGTGAGTTTGAGCTTCAGCTCGGTCAGACGTTGTGTCCTTGGGAAAGGTGGACCTACTTTATACATGAGTTTCCCATTTGGCTGGGTCTTTTTGGAGATGTGTGTTAGACCTAATAGTGTTGATAGGGGGCGTTAAACCTATACCATTTCACCGTTTTTTCTATGGCAGCTGGGTGCTGTACACTCGAGAACCTCCAACCCACAAAGGTCTCGTGGGGCTGAAGCGTCCATCCCTGACCAACCAGTTCAACTGGACCTACACCGTCCTCAGTGACTCCACCTTCCAGGTCTTGTATGGAAAACTGCAGGAACGATCTCCTCCGGCAAAAAACTATGGTAATTTTAGAACTACCCGCGGAAAAATTATGTAATTCTAAAGTAAAATCTCAAACTGTAGTAAATTCATAACTTCACTAAATGGAGCCCTCAAGAATTAGTTTAAAGATACGGTCTTTTCACTGAGTGCATTTTTTGTTTAAAGTACATTTTTTATATTTCTCTGTTATTTCTTTGTCTCTCTTGTTTTTCACTACACACAAATGACCGTTGTGTGGATATGCTTCTTCTCACCCAAGGAGAAGGGCAGGCATTATAAATAACTTCTTTCATGCATGTTATTTTTACCCTTGTTGTACCCCAAGGGGCGGCGCTACTGACTGAAGTGTCTTTAGGCCATTCCCAAAGGGGGGACATTAATATGTTCTATGCACAGTAGAATTCTAAATTGTAAATTGGCTGATTCATCAATGTCATGCTCATAACTGTGCCTGAACTGCAACTGGGAACTGCTGTTTTTTCTTTCCTAATCCTTACTATTGTCATTTTTCCTCTACTTCTTTTGTATGTTTATCACACTCTTCTGACTCGCTATTTCCGGTATGCCTTGATAGTCGAAAAAGACTTTGTGCTTTGAAGCTAGAGAGGTGAGCAAAGTAAACCCGTTTCCCTGTAAGGACTTCTCTTTTAACATCCACCCCTTGGCGCTCTTATGACCTTATGCAGTTGCAAGCACCGTAAAACCTCTACTAAAACTAAACTAAACATCTATTGCCCTCATCTCTCTTCCTTCTTTTCTTTGCATGTTATTCTCTTGTAACATCTCCTAATCTTCGGCTCTAGTAAGACCAATCTGTTTTGCAAGTGCTGTAAAACTTTTATTTCTTCTTTTCTTCTTTATTATCTTCTTTTTTTGTTTTTTCGTAAAACAGAAAGTATTTACAATGCCAAAGAACATGAAGCCGCATGGTTTGTGGGTCATTGCCCGACACATTCTCGCCGCGAGGATTACGTCAAGCGAATGGGGTCCAAGGTCAGCGTGCACATCTTTGGTGAATGCGGCAACATGACCTGTGGGTCAAGAGGTTACGACATGGGAGGAAGCAAAGAGAAGTGTCTAGGAATGCTGTCAAACAAATACAAGTAATGCTGAAAAACTGGTTTATTTTCTTTCTTAATGTTTCTTTCAGACAAATTAAATAATGCATATGAAAAGTGGGTTTTTTTCCTCCAGTCTCTCTCTGACATATATTTACCAGTGTATTGCAAGAAGACATTTTTTTTCGTTTTTTTCTGTTTCTCATAGACAAGTACGAATATAATGTCAGAAAATTGGGGATGAGATTCCCTTCTGCTTCTCTCTATTTTACTTTTTCAAGATCTGAATGGCTTTTGTCTTTTAATGTACTTCTGTGTAACTCGGATAAGCCAAACCGTTTTTGGTTTAGAAGGATGTCTTTAACTTTAATTGTTTCATTTTATTTGTGATTCTCTATTCTCATTTGCTGACTACCGGGGGGGGGGGGGGGGGGGGGGGGGGCAGTAGGCACAGAAAGTAAATAGCGGACCACTGTCTTTCTTTAACGGGTTCATATGGACTAATTTGCCACTAGTATTTGACTCACGACTAAGACGTTTTTTAGTAGAATTGATATTGCTGAAGGAAATGGATCAGAGACCAAACGATAGATCAAGACAGACAATGTTTAAAAAAAATATTTTAAGCTATGTTTAGTGTTGATTTCCCATAGCGTCTTCAACCCAACATAGTATATTGTGGTGTTTTTTGTAGGGATTTTTTTTGTGTGTCTGTGTATTGTCTACCTGAAATGACTATACAGTGCTCAGAGCTCGTGCCTAACGAGATAAAATACTATAGAAAGCTATTTATCATTATTATTACTGTTAATATGCACTGGGCTTTCAAACCAATGCTGATCAATTTCTGCGTTTTTATTTTTACAGATTTTACCTTGCGTTTGAGAACTCCCTGTGCCGAGATTACGTGACTGAAAAATTCTTCAACCTGTACAACAACGTAAACGTGATTCCTGTCGTAAGAGGAGGGGCGGACTATGACAGTCTCTTTCCTGTCGGGACGTTCATCAACGCCGCTCATTTTGATTCCCCGGAGCTACTGGGGAAATATCTGAGAGAGCTCGGCAGGGATAAGGAAAAATATCTTGCTATTCTGAAGAGGAAAGACAGGTAGATCTATGTTCTTTTGTGATGTCATCTAATTAGACTAATAGTTACTAAATGTTTAGTCAAACTCGGTCAATATAATTTCCTTCCCCCCCCCCTCACTCCTCCCCCACCATTATACCACTAGCCCCGTCCACTGCCAGGTTTTTGTCAATGTGCAAAAAGAATTGCATATAAAAGATATGAATGTTGTGTTCGGGCCTTTATGCCGCCATCCGCCAACTGTCTGGACTGTACAGTTCTTCTGAAAGAAGTGCCAATTTTGCTTCACAACACCGCTAGTGAACTGGCTGTGAAAGCCTCTAATAGGGATAATATCCTTCATCAAGTAATGACAGAATAATTTCCCTTGATGATTAGCAGTTAGTGCTGTTCAGCAAAGGACCTCGATATAGTGCCAGACCCCCCCCCCCCCGCAGTATGGCTAATTTCATGCTAGTTCTAAGCTAAGGTCAGTGGTTTGATGGGGTTTGACTGTATTCTTCTTCTACTCACTGCCTTCAAAGATTATAATATATGTATCTTTACTCAGCTTGACAGCTTTTAGGGGATTATGCTAGCATCAAATGTCATCTGTGTTAACGTGTGGAATTGTATAAGTTTAATACCCCCTGAAACTCTTTAAGATTATTTTATGAGGTGAAACCTCTGAATTTAATGTCCATCCCAGAAACGACCAAGTCGAATATGAAACTTTGTGTAAAGCACCTTTCCAAATGACAAGACGTCAGACTGAGCTGTCTCAAACTCCTGAACCTGCAGTCTCACAATTACAGGTTTGAGGTGGCTACTGTAATGTGGCCTTTCACAGCATCTTTCACCTTGTTACCAACAATCACAAACTTTATGGAAAAGTACCTCTACATCTGTGCATCTTCGGCCATTTCAAGCCTGCACATGCGGTATTGTGGTCAGGTGCTTTGCTGCTTCACACAGAAAACCCAAGTTCAGTTAGAATTTTTATTGAGTCTCCAAGTCTTTCTGCTGGGATGTTGTCTCCTTCTCAGCCTGGGCTATCCTTGGCAGGCAAAGTCAAGTCACAGCCAGCTTCCTAAATGGTCTAAATTATTTCAACTGGGACGTGAAAACACCTGTAGGCCTTACTTACTAACTTACTCTCTCCATATACCGTCAAGTACATATAGGGGAGAGCAGTCGTGCCACGTTTGCCTGTTCTGGACCACGTTCTCCAACCTTTGCACGTACAGACCCTGAGGGATTGCCTCATCCCTAGTTGTGCCCCTGTAACTTCCAGTTGGTCTACCTACTTTTTTTTTTCCAGTTGGGCTCCAATATCATGTCTGATAGGGTGAACACAGTCATTATGCATTCTCATAACATGTCCCAATTATCTCCATCTTCTCCTTTTTATGGTCATGTTGATATCTTCAATTCCAGTTTTCCAACACTTTTTTCAGGCCTGTATCAATTAAAAAAACAAAGAAAAATGTTTAACTTGTCCCATCATTCTCTTTGTGTGTCTTCCCCCAGGTACAGAGCCCTGTCAGGAGGAGACTTCCAGTGTGACTTGTGCGAGGCCGCATACACACACACTCCTAAGAGCATTTATAAAAACATTGGCCAGTGGATGAGTCCGCTAAAAAACTGCCAAAGGCCGACAGACTTGTGATGTATGTGATGTATATATGTTTTATATATATATAAGCTCCAATGATTGAAAGTTTATTATAAACAATATGAATGAGTGCTTATGAATATGTGTGTAGGCCTATGTTAAATAAAAATGTGTATATCGTTGTAAATCAAATTCCCTTGTGGACATCTTCTTCTTCTCCTTCTCCTTCTCCTTCTCCTTCTCCTTCTCCTTCTCCTTCTCCTTCTTCTTCTTCTTCTTCTTCTTCTTCTTCTTTTTCTTCTTCTTCTTCTTCTTCTTCTTCTTCTTCTTCTTCTTCTTCTTCTTCTTCCCTCCTCTTCCTCCTCCTCCTCCTCCTTCTTCTCTTTAAGTACCATATTTGAAACATATCTGAACCCTGACAATCATGGTTCACCACTTTCGTCTGTTCTTATGCTCTCGAAAATCTTCATTTTCCTAGTCTTTTCCATTCACCCATCTGTTGTAGTTCTCTATGTGAGTTATTCAAGGTCTACCTCTGCCTCTTTTGCCTGCTGACACAAGGCATTTTGTCCTGAGGTAGTTTTTTTTTTTAATCTGTGACTGGAGCTTAGAGTCAAAAGTTAATATATATATACTTGCGATGTGAGGAAAGTATAGAAATAGAATGCAACTTATTCACTTTTGCTTTTATAGCACTGACATCCTGATTGAAATACTCATTTTCATGCTTGATGTTGTTCTCTCAGTATTGCCATAAGCTGATGAAATGCCCTTTTTTATTCAGAGCAGTTTCGAGATAGAGGTTTTTTGTCAGCGTAACCATTTAAAAATAATGCTCTTCCGAAATATGAATTCTGCTGTATTATTAGCATTGAAAAACTAGTCACAGTTTCAATTTTATTTTTTTTCACACTAGTAGGGTAACTTATTTGGTTTTCGATTTTGCAAAAATAAACAAATTTGGCGCCAAAATGAAAAAAGGCGTTTTGTCAGCTTACGGCAAAGTAGTGGTAAAGGCATTTTGTGTGCAGTTGGTCGGTCCTCTACGAAAGCACACCTTTACTTTTGATAGTCTCTGTATTAGTTTTGTTGAAACCAAGTCTTCACTTTTGATATCATGAGAATTATTGTTGTTGATATTCCCTTGGTTTTACTTTATAATTTTGGTATTATTTTTGTTGATGTTCCAAGTTTTTACTTTTGATATTCTAGGAATCATTTTTGTTGATAATCCTTGTTTTTACTTTGTATTTTTTGTACAGTGGAATCTTGTTATAACAAGAGGGAGGGGACCGGTGCGAAATGTCCGTTATAGCAGGATTCTCGTTACAAGGGATCCAGTAATAAATCAAGGGATTATAGTAAAGTAGGCCTAATCTATGAGTTTGGCGTTCTCTTTATTTCTTTTTGTATTTCCCCTGATGATGATTTGTTCAACATGATCTCAGGGTCTTACTTTATCAAAAATCGAATCAGATTTCTTTCTCTAGCACTAGCAATGTTGACAAATCGGCGTTGGCGATCAGAAAGAAGGGGCTCTGGCTCTAGGTTAACTCGCCCGCTGTGTTGTCCCTTACTCCCCCACACACTGTGGTGCGTTGAGTCTGCTCGCACACGTCACACATTCACTCCATCCATCTATCACAGCATTGTGACCTCTCCATCCTGCACCAGAGAAGTGAGAGTCACGGTATGCCTAGATAATCTAGACTGGGCTGGCCTATCATGCGATGTGTTCTACTTGTGTCTGCGCATCCAACACCCTCCCTACTACTCCCTACTCAGTTGCTCCGGCCTTCAATGTTGGTTCGCGTGGGCTCTCCCATTCTTTGTTTCGCTGGATCACCAACAACTTTCTCAACTGGCAAAATTTTATAATAATGTTTAATTGGTCTGTGCGCTGTGCACAGCAGCAGCAATATACCGTTATAACCGACTCGCATGACGGTCTGATTGCGCAATAGCAGTCTTTTATTTACAAAGATAAAGAAGGGAAAAAACAGGGTTTTAGAATAGTGTCTATATAACAGACTTCTCGTTGTTTCAGGACTCGTTATAAGTGGACTCCACTGTATTATTTTTTGTTGATATACTTTTTCTTTACTCCGTATTATATTCTTGGTATTGTTTTAATTGGTATACCTTTTCTTTACTTTTCATATTCTTGGTATCGTTTTTGTTGACATACTCTGTCTTTACTATGTTACATTACTTTCTTGGTATTATTTTTGTTGACACCTTTCCTCCCTTGGGCCTGTGATAAACACAAATACAAACACATACATGGACAAACATTGTCACATTATAAGCAAGACAAAAGAATTACGCACATGCTTAGTTTCACTAGATCAAATCAAGGCATTTGACTGAATTTTTTGTTTTCTCAATTCATATTGATTTAAAAGACTTCACACTTTCTGATCTCAACTACACCCCGTCTTCCCCCTCCCCCCCCCCCCCCCCCCCCCATCCTCCTTTCCTTTCCCTTTTCTCTCTTTCTGTCCCCTGTCCTGGCTAAAACAGCACCTGGACATGGATGGCTGGTGCCTCTATAAATAAATCATTGATGGTCTGGTCTGATCCCCTGTCCTTTTGGGTTTGAATAACACAAAACCTGATTTTCCTTAGCTAATTTTAAAAAACCTCTTCTCATCTAAAATGTCCCTTTCAGTTGGAATTTTAAAAAAACCCTGATTTTCTTTCGTCAATTTTTATCCAAAAATCATCCTTGTACATGATACAGGGTTATCCTTAAACCAACTTCCGCTCATGTATGTCTTTCACAGATATTTTTCTTTTCTTCGTTTTTCAGCATTATTTTATTGTTTTACAAATTGTTATGAAATATACTGGTGTTGTGTATTACTAAAACATGTCTTTTTACATTACAAGTGGGGGGAATTCAATCTTTCCTAGTTTTTTAGTTTATAAAAGAAAAATACTAAAATGTTTTAATTTTTAGCTTGTAAAAAAAATACTGACATGCTTATATTTTTAACTTGTAAAAAATTGCTGAATGCTTAATGACTTAATGTTCATGCTGTACATATATGACATCTATGCAAGCACTGAGTACGCATTTTATGAAATTTTATTTAATTTGCACACACTCATAATTTTGTTGTGAAGGAGACTTGCTTGTACCATTCCACATCTTTATTATCCACCCACACTTCTGACTAGCATCTGTAGTGAAATGGTTAAGCTCTTCACCATCACTCACAAAAGTCATGGAATTTTTTTTTCTTTTCAAATAGAGTATCTCTGTATGTGCACTGTAGTGCTGTAGCCTACACAGCCTGCGTGGGTTGGTCCTGACAGGCAGGATCGTAGCAGCTGGCTTCATGGAGGAGTCGGTTGCTTGTCAAAATTATGAAATTGAAGAAAACTGAATTTTTCCTTTGGTTTGGAAATTTTTATAAGTGAAATTTTGGTTTTTGGCTCAGCACTTTGTATGTCCATTAAAAACATGTTTCTGTGTGGATTTCACTGAACAACACGGATTAAAGGCACAAAAAAATGTAAATTTTTAGTTTTCAAAGACTCTCCTTCTCAAGTTATGGAAATAACCAAACTTTGATTTTACCTCTGAAACCAGGCAAGCCCAACCCCCTTTAATCTCTAATATCTTAACTTCTATTTAAGATAGATGGGTATTTCTTTCACCAAGGGCAAGACAAATGAATAAGCCTTAAGATGATACCTATAACCCCATATGCCCAAAGACTGACGAGCACCTGATCCCATCGCGTCATGACACAAATTGTGTCAGTGTCAGTGTGAAAGTGGAGTGCTTAAAATTTTGTTTCCAATATCTGCTTGAACCTGGAGCAGGCTGTGAGATACAGTGATAATCTTCTGTTTCGTCACTTTGGGTGACTCTCATACCAAATGGATTGACTAAATATCTCTCCTTTGGAGCAAATCAGGGTAGTTAAGATCTGAAGAGTGGGGCGTACACTTGGGCAGTCTACTTCCTCTGCTCTATGTGTACCTCCCTGGCAAAGCTGTATCATTATGCACGCTGCCTTAGTTAATATCAGATCATCGCTAATGATGGACAGCCGAGGAAGATACTGTGTAGTTTTCTAGCTTCCTGTGTATGGTGGCCTATTTGTCCAAGCTGATGTCTTCTTGTCATGTCTCTTTTGTGCCTGTCTGTTGGTCATAGATCAGCCGGCAAACATTTAATCTGTATACATGTATATCTGTCACGGACCCAGTCATGCAAACATTAAATGACTTGAACCCACCCATCTGTTAGTCATGGATCTAACCCTGTAAACTTTAAACTTAAGCTCACCCATCTTTCTGTCAGTGGGTGGTTGGCGGGTGCTCTGGTGTAGTTTGCTTCTTCTTTCTCATCAAACACCCATCGTCCTTTTCTCCCCTTCTTCTTTTTTATGTTTATTACTCTCTTGTAACCCCTCTAATCTTCTTGCGCTCCATTGACCTTATGCAGTTGCCAGCACTGTAAAACCTTTACTAAAACCAAAACTAAACATCTGTCAATCATGGATCTACTCTTGTAAACTTAAAATTTAAGCTCTGGTGCTCATATGACCTAATGCAGCTGCGAGCGCCGTAAAACCTTACTAAAAACAAACAAAAACCTCAGCTCACGCATCTGCCTGTCATAGATTCCGTCCCTTTAGCAATGAATGAACCCTGGGAACCCCACAGTGTGGAGCCTGCTTTCTAAATGTTCTGTTAGGGTCTGGTGGGGGCATTACAGTCATGTAAAATCAAACAATTAATGTACCGTATTATAACATTATGTGTACATAATGTGTCTGCTTTGATAAGCTTCTGTTTTTGGTAGGCTACTATTATTAGCGAAGACTTTGTTAATAAATGTGTCAAATAAGAAATATGATATTATGTCTCTTCAGAGTTTTTTTGTCTTTGTTTAGTTTGTCTCTGTCTGTCCGTCTGTCTGTCTGTCTGTCCGTCCGTCGCTCCGTCCGTCTGTCTGATTGTTGGTGTGTGTGTGTGTGTGTGTGTGTGTGTGTGTGTGTGTGTGTGTGTATGTGTGTGTGTGACAGAGAGAGAGAGAGAAGGAGGAAGATAGAGGC